TATTGTCGATTATTTCGCAGGCTATTCAATTGTTTATTTGCACAATTAAAATCACTTACATATAAGCTAATCAGAAACAAAGCGTGACTAAACAATTGTGCGATAATTTAGTTTCAGATTTGTGTATGCTCTCAAACGTAGGTCTTGTAATCAGTCTTGTAAACTCCAGCGAACCAACATAAGGGAAAAATTATGAATCGAAAAAAACTTGAGAAAATAGATTCAGTTATTACAAAATATTACCTTATCGTTCGAGTAAAAAAAATTATCTATACTAATATTATAAAGAGGAAATATTTGTAAGTTTGTACTTTAATATGTATTGAAATAACTCAAAAATTACTGGGCCGATTTTAAAAATTCTTCACTATTAAAAAAACTACATGAACAGTCAGTAACGTATGCTCCGTTTTTTATTATTTTTTTTCACGCGGACGGAGTCGCGCGCGAAAGCTAGTATAAAATAAAATAAATCATTTAATATGAGTGCAGAATAACTCCTGTTTAACTTGCTACGTGTCCGGGAATGTAGGTCATAGCGAGTGAGTTATAATTAGTGAAATTTATGATGCGGGCCATCCCAGGGGAGGGGAGGGTGCGGGGGAGGTACAGGGTAGGGGACGATACACCGGGTTAAGGGGAGTTTCAAGTTCGACACGCGTGGTGAAATTTTTTTTGGTTCGAAACATTATTTTGAATTTTGAAGTTATGGTCTCATTCCCACATTAGGGTTTTTATCCAAAATATCTACCACCTAAGTTTAATGGCGTGAAAATATATAGCCTAAAGCGTGACGTAAGCGTAGAGCTTTTTCTTAAAAATATAATTATTCAAAAATATGCTGTAATTATTGACATCTTAAGCAACAAAGAAGTGTGTTTACGCTTTATTATAATAGTATAGATTACGTGGATGAAGTCGCGGGCAACAGCTAATCTTTAAATAATTACTTACTTAATTATGTTATCATATAGCACAAAAGTAATTAATGATGTTTCTCTTACAAATTATATCTTAAATATTAATTTTATATGATTACTGTAATATCACTAATTATTATTCAAAATGAAACTCACGAGGTATTTAAATAATACATTAACAATTATTATCATATCATATATCATAAAATGTAAGTAATCTTACTAATATTATAAATGCGACAGTTTAGATGGATGGATGTTTGTTAGCGTTTGTAGCCTAAACTGCTGAACGGATCTCCATGAAATTTGACACAGGTTTAGAGCATAGTCTGGAAGAACACATAGGCTACTTTTTATCCCGGGATTAGTTACGGTTCCCGTAAGATTCATTACTTTAGTTTTTTAATGTTTACTCGATCATTCTGCAACGGTTCAACATATCTTATTGAAATTTGTCACAGATATAAAACAAAGTCTGGAGTACACATGGAATAAGCTTCATCCCCGAGAAATATCTGGTTCCCGAGAATTACGTAGCTTTTAGTAATTTATATAGTTCGTATGTTTTCTAATACCACGCGGACGAAGTCGCGGGCAACAGGTCGTATATAACAATATTAATATTATAAATGCGAAAGTTACGATGGATGGATGTTTTGAATGAACTCGCCAGGTGGCGGCGCTGAATGAGTAAAGTCAAATTTGTCTACCTATCTCAGGTAGGAGTTTAAAAGGTGGTTTTCACCCTCTTTTACAAAACCAACCTCCTCTAGGTGGCAAATTCTGACCCGTTTGCATAATTCTCTTTGTGGCTGTCGTAATGCAGTTGCGATACTTGTTAAACGTTTTGTTCTGCTTGTCTTGTACATTCGGGGTACTTTGCGGTGATCTACTTTTAAAAATTGACTTGTTCTTTACGACTCAATCTGTCTCTTACAATTAACTAAGTAATAAAGTAGTGAGTTTTGAAAACGACTACGAGGGATAATATTTTTTTTTCGTAACACATTTAAAAGCAAATATTTATTATGGTTTCGCTTGATCTTTATGGAGAAATACCGTCAAATTACCTGATTGTACATATTAGGACTGATTTTAAAATGAATATAGAAAGAAGTTTTTACAATAGTGATAGAAGGAACTAAAATTTTCACATATAATAAAAGTTTTTGATACAATAAAGTAGGAAACGAGCAAGGGGTCACCTAATTCCGTCAAAATGGTGAAGCGATCGCTGCCCAGACATTCGCAATTGCAGATGCGTTGCCTACTCTTAATCGACGGAGAAGACGCACACAAAAAGGATATCTACCCTTCCAATGCATCTCCTCCATCGTCCAATCCACTTTCCCAACCAATCCTTTCCTTATGGCGAAAGGGTAACACGGGAAAGGGACTAAAAAAGGCCCTCCGGTACCACACTCCTCAGAAAAAACGCGGAATTGCTTCCACTTCGCGGCTGTTTTCTGTGTGGTTGTGGTATTACACCGGGCGAGCCGAGCCTACAGTGTAAAAATGTTAAAGCGGGCTCTACCACTGTCAGAAGTTGATCAAGACCCTTTTATATTATATCCCTTCGCTATTATCGAACGATAATAAACTCTGCAGAAACAGTGACAGTTTGTGTATCTTTTTAAAATTGGGGCCATTAAATCAACGAGAGACATTAAAGGGCAGATAGGTCGTAACATTTTATGGCCCAACGTTATAAGACAGGTGAATATACTGTTATAACTTCATAGCAAATATAATGTAGCCGTTTTTATTCGACCGTTATTTATGATGACATGTATGGTGATGTAGATATCACGCATTGTATGGCCGTTGATTAGATTTTTTTAATACTATATTCGCCCGTATTCGTTCGAGAACTGAGTAGTTTTTGCGCTATTAAAACTATAATTTACATTTTTTGTTCCAGCTCTCTTCAGCCGTTCTGTTGTTATATGGTAACATCAACACATACAAACTTACGAACCGTACTATTATAAGAGCGGGCGAATACCTGTGACAAAACGGTTGTTTCATAGCCAATTCAACCTTTTAGTTGCACAACTAAAAATCGAGACTAAACAGTGGAATTATATGCAACGTTTTGGTAAATGAGGGAGAAAAAAGATAAAGTAACACAAGAAAGAAAGGGACGGATGTCTTAATTGTGTAAAACGTGACTTTATAGATAATGAATTCTATTCTACGTTACTATAATGCGTTTTACTAGTTAAATGTTCATCGCATTGTTCAAATAAAAGACGTAAAAACACCTCCATAAGGTTCATATTAAATTGATGAACCCCATTTATATTTCAAGCTACAAGCTCCGTTTTACTACATTTCCAGACTCTTTTTTGTTGGTATTTAATTTAGGTTGTACACGACGTCTGACGCTGCGGGCGAAACTGGAATACGGTTTTGAAACATAATTATTCTAACAGTTCATTCAACTACTGTTAATAACGGTTATTATAACCGCTAATTAACCGTTTTTAAATTATAACGAAACTTGCGAAAGCAAATAGCATTTAAAATTTGCTTTTAATTTGACGTCCTTATCTTGCTTTGTCCTCAAGTAAATCAGTCAAGTAAGAAACCTTACTAACAATTATAAAGTAGCTGTCGACAAAAAAACTGAATTAATCTATATAGTACAGACTAGCTTTTCCCGTGCGACTTCATCCGCATGAAATTATGAAAATTTTATTTTATTGTTTACATTTGTCAAATTATCAATTACAAATGTCAAAATGACATGACATGATGACAACCTTGCTTCATTGATGATGGCAGCAACTTATGGTCTCTTTCCCTAATTAGGGTTAGGACATATATACTAAAGCGTGACGCAAGTGTGGGGCTTTCTGTTAAAAAAATATATTTAAAAACATGCTGTTATTGCTGACATCTTAGGCAACAAAGAAGTGTGTGTTTACGCTTTATTATAATAGTATAGATTATAGTCTACAATGCTAAATTTCACCATCATCTTTCTCCGTATCATACTCCCGTAGTGGAGGAACAGGTTTTTGTCCTCCACATAACTCTGTCATACGTCAAAATTTGATTATGATTCAGCGAGATCTGTTAATCTGTTCCGGATATAAGTGACAAAAAACCATATAAACTGTCACACTAAGAGTTGGTTCAACTGTCAAGTCTCGCTTTGATTCCAAGAGCTTGTGAAGGTGCGCACACTACTAGAGTTTTTAGTTGTGCAACTAAACAGTTGAAAGTGTGAAACAAACGAAAATCGTACAACAGTTGGGCGATAGTATACTCAAAGGTGTGCGTACGTCCTTATCCTACAGAGATTCAAATAAAGATATTTCCCCTTCCTATAATAATCATAATAATATTTGGATTTGGCTCATGAGATTACCGCCATGTGGCGTATGAAATCGACTACCATTATTCCGATAGTCGTTTCGGTACACGGGTTAGCGAAGAGCTTCGACCAACACCTCAAGAAGCTCTCGCTAGACAGTTGGATTAAGGGCCCGATTCAAAAGGCGGTTATTTTAGAAATCGCACGAATAGTGAGGAGGTTCCTGTCTCTGCAGCCCTGACTACTGGTTGCTTGACTCATCGGATTCCGCAGCCGGTGGTGCTCTATTTTTTTATATAATATATTTTATTTCATTTTTATATCAAAGCTTGTAAAATGTATTATATAGAGAATAAGAAATAAAGATATATGGAGTGAAGTATACTAATATTTTAAATGCGAAAGTTTAGATAGATGGATGAATATTTCTTAGAGTTTGTAGCCTAAACAACTGGATGATTTTAATGAAATTTGGTTCAGATATAGACGATAGTGTGGAAGAACACAGTGATTACTTTTGTTTTGTTTTTTAATTCCACGTGGACGTAGTCGCGGGCGAAAGCTAGTAATAATAATAAACTTTATTTCGAGCTACAAATCTTTTTTTCAAAATCGGTGCACTAGGGGCGGAGTTATACTGTAACACACATGAAAAAATACGGAATTGAGTAACTCCTCCTTTTGGGAAGTCGGTCAAAAAGGGACGGGATTACAATGAGACTTTCAACACAACAATAAAATAGTTGTCTACGACTTACCGAGTTTGTTGTTGCCATGTGGATGCTGATGGTGATGTTGTTGTTGTGGTATTTGCTGCATCAGAGCTGGATGGGGCAGCTGCAGTAATTTCGGCTCCAGTTTAGTCGCGGCCGCCACTGGGATAGGACCAGCGTTCGTCATCGTCGTCATAGTAGCTGCTGGCATCATTAATGTTGACATCGTGAGCATTTTGTGCAGCGCGTCACGTTTTTCCACCATTTACAACCGATTTAAATGGACGCCATCTCGCGTCGGATGATAACACTAATTTTGAATTGTTATTTTTAAATTTGTTTTTAATTTTTTTACACCACTTTCTTTTTAAATTGTTTTGTATTTTAAAATAGTTTTTTCTTATATAACTACTCTACGACGTCTGTAAATTAGTTTTAATTTTTAAAATTAGTTTTGTATGCTTTATTTCGTGTGGTCTTTTTAATAGAGAGATTTTGTATATTGTAGAGAGTTATTTTAATCCAGTGTTATTAGATACCTGTTTCGAAGTTTTTTAAATAAAACTATATGTGTTATAAGTGTTTTATTAAGCGTTGAATTGTTTTATAAAATTATCATCCACTAGCCCTTGTCCTTACGGAGGGTCAGCATTATGTGCTGTTTCCATCTCTATCAGCCGTCATATCTTTCACACAATCCATACATACATTCGGTCTTCCTCTATCTTTGTACCCATTCATTCTAAATACTCGTTTTTACTTGTTTGTTCTCATCAACTCCATACCACGCTAACCGTTTGCTTCTCAATTTCTACACCGAAAGCGCTACTAAATTTAAATACCTATACATATAATAAACCTAGCTTTTCCCATGCGGCATCCGCATCGAATTATAAAATCAATTGCAAATGTCAAAATGACATGACATGACATGATGACAAAGCATGACAACCTTGCTTTCTTAATGTTGGCGGCAACTTATGGTCTCTTTCCCACATTAGGGTTTTTATCCAAAATATTTCCCCCCCTAAGTTTAATGGCGTGAAAATATATAGCCTAAAGCGTGACGTAAGTGTAGGGCTTTTTATTTAAAAAAATAATTGTTTAAAAATATGCTGTTATTACTGACATCTTAGGCAACAAAGAGGTGTGTGTTTACGCTTTATTATAATAGCATAGATTGGAGTGTCTGTCTGTAACATCAAGAGAAAAATTCCAGATTTCGGGAAGATGATGTATTTACGTTGCTGATAACGAAAATCGCATTTATTTTTTTAAGTGTCTGTCCGCAAGCTGCGGGTAATGTTCGAAACGGTTGTAACAATTTCGACCGGACTTTCACTGAAAAGTGACATAGACAGGCATATTATAGGCTACTTTTTAATCTTAATATTGCGTGTCGTCGCGACCAACAGCCAGTATAAAATAATATTTTTACGCCATTAAACTTAGGCGGTAAATATTTTGGATAAAAACCCTAATGTGGGAAAGAGACATTAAGTTGCTACCAACATCAAGGAAGCAAGATTGCAAAGTTTTGTCATATCATGTAATTTTGACATTTGCAATTGATAATTTGACACATGTAAATAATAAAATAATTTTATACTGATAAAATCGCACGAGAACAACTAGTAAAATAATAATCCAAGTTAGTTTTAGTTCTACAGACTTTGCAGTTTCACTGGAAAGCGGTTTTTGAACTTTACCTACTGAAAACTAACCAACCAACTTTCAGCAAAGTTACGAGCTACGAGGTTTAATCTTTCTATTTCACATAACTATCACCGATCAACTAAACTATGTTGAAATTTCCACATACTTAGGTAACTTTAGAGAGCCCTTTGCTATGAAATATTCAAGTATTCAACTGAACTCTTTGAAGTTATACTGGAGTTGATATTAAGTTATGAATTAAAAATCATGTTTTCGTAGGACTACAGGACTATAGGAAGGGAGTGATGACTGAGATGACGGATGATAGAATGCTTTGGAGGACGAAAACCCGGTGCGCCGACACTACGGGAGTAGGATAAGGCAGGGGAGATGATGATGATGTTTTCGTAGGACTACAGTATATTATATACAATACTAGCTGTTTCCATGCGACTTCATCCGCATGAAATTATAAAAAAATAATCTTATTGTTCACATTTGTTAAATTATCAAATGTCAAAATGATATTACATGATGTCACACCGTGGCAACCTTGCTTCCTTGATGTTGGCAACAACTTATGGTCTCTTTCCCACATTAGGGTTTTTATCCAAAATATTAACACCCTAAGTTTAACGGCGTGAAAATATATAGCCTAAAGCGTGACGTAAGTGTAGGGCTTTTTATTAGAAAAAGAGTTATTCGAAAATACGCTGTGATTGCTGACATTAGGCAACAAAGTGTGTGTTTACGCTTTATTATAATAGTATAGATAATCTGTATATTAAAGGAAGTTTGAAAGTAGCGCCAGTGGTTGAGAAATTGAGAAGCAAAAGGTTAGCGTGGTATGGACATGTTATGCCACGAGACGATGACATGAACCAGAAAGTGTTAAGATTAAATGTGGATGTTTACAAAGGTAGAGGAAGACCGAAGAAAGTATGGATGGATTGTGTGAAAGATATGCTTAAGAAGGGAGTGACTTCAGATATGACGGCTGATAGAGATGTATGGAGCAGCACATACTGTGCCGACTCTCCGTAGGGGTAAGGGCAAGTTGATGATGACAGTACAGTACAGTAGTACAGTACAATCTAGTAGAGTATAGAACTGTAGACTTGATAGTACAGTCAGGGAGTCTGTCATTGAATATTAAAAGGTACAATCGCGGAACAAAATAGGACACAACTTTTAAATGTGTGTTGTATGAAAAAGCTTTATTGTCTGTTGCCCGAGTGAAATTTGAAAGTAAAAAACTTACGTTTGCCCCTTTTTTCAACCTATTACCAAAAGTATTAACTTAGTAGTATTCTACGTAATAACAGAAATTTACCGATGCAAGATTCCAAATTTCTAAGCGCAGTAGTTTGTGAGCTGATTTTTCGGTTAACCTTATTGTTTGTGTTCGTGATATCTTTTATACTATTAGTCCAACTTAAATACTGTAAAGGACAATTTTATTATACATTAAATTCTTCTGACAACAAATGCGTTTATTTGGATAAGGATCAATATTGTAAGCAATTTAAAACGGTTTAGGCAGTGTAAGCCGAGAAAAGAATACAATGTGACTTATTAATGCCGTGGTCCAGAAATATGTTGTTTATTAATAGTTCCCAACATTAGTAATAATGAAATATAGCCTATGTTACTCACAGATAAATTTCCTTTCTAACGGTGAAACAATTTTTAAAATCGGCCCCATAGTTTTTGAATTATTTCAATACATACAAAAATACAAATCTTTCCTCTTTATAATATTAGTATGGATTAGATGTATTCTTCAATATATATAAAGCATTTTTCGAATTCAACGCAATTATAAAATTTGAAAAGCGAGCGGGTTAACGTTGAAAGGTAACGGGGGATGCAAAAGTTTACAAAAAAAACCTCAACCGGAGTGAAGTTGGTACAGGTGCAGGGAAAGTATTAAAAAAGTTGGAACAACTTCACTTTAATGAGAACAGCTTAGCAGCTCGACCTTAAATTTATCTACAAAAATAACATGAAAAGAAGAATTTTAATTACAGATTCAATGAAAGTGGTAGTTAATTTTTTTTATATTTATTAATCTATCTCACTAATATTATAAATGCGAAAGTTTAGATGGACAGATGTTTGTTAATCTTTAAATTACTATATTCCATCTAAGAATGTTGTTTCCCAACAAAAAACTTTGACAATTTCCAAGGAATTTCATTTAACCCTTCACTATTAAAGTTAGTTATAACGGAAGAGGAAAGCCACAGAAGCAGAATTGTTTCAAAGTTATGTCATCCGTCCCTAAGGGTACGTACAATCGCGGATACTCGCAGTGTTTCACTCAAGGCAATATTGCTCTGATCGTTGCAACGATACAAATTCCGACTCTTAAAAATAACTAAATAGATATCAGTGAATGCAGCCCTAGGGATAATAATAAAAAAGAACTATCCGTGTATTACTAATCGACTTTTTCTTCTCCACCGTCAACTTACCCTTGTCCCTACGGTGGGTCAGCACAGTGCTGCTCTTCCATACTATCAGCCGTCGTATTTGAATCCACTCCCTTGTTAAGCATATTCGGTCTTCCTCTACCTTTGTAGCCATCCACATTCAATATAAACACTTTATGTCCCCATACTCTCGTCGCTTAACAGACTATTTTCGTACAGACACATTTGAAAGCTGCGTTGCATCGATTTTAACCGTGTCGTCGTTAACATCTTCAAACGACTGTAGCATTTTAGTTAGGACACCACCAGTTTCCCCTACTGTACATACTTTACAAATTGCATTTCGTGCCTTTACCCCTCATATCAACTTGTATCTGTAGTGATGTGCTTTGTTAATCTTAAATTGTCGACATACTATATAGCTTTCGCCCATGACTGAACTCAAGAAATTAAAAAAAAACCACGAATTATGGCCTATGTGTTCTTCAATATTACTCTCTACATCTATGCCAAATTTTATCGAAATCCGTTCCACAGTTTAGGTTGGAAACTCTAACAAACATCCATCTAAACTTTTGCATTTGTACATCTATTGTGTTGATATTTTATTTGTTAACTATCAATAAATCGTCTTAAGAATGTCCTTGTAAATAAGAGTATAGCTCCACGGGAGGTATCCTGCTGCGAGCATTAGAAAGCTTTCTATAAGCAACACCCTGCAGTGATTACTTACTTTATTTCCTACTATTTACTTGTCACGTTACGCGCGAAATCGCCCATGTGAATTTAAAAATTGTAAAAAAAATATTGCCTACGTTACTCACTGATTACTCAGCTTTTTAATGGTGAAGGAATTTTAGAAATCGGCTCACTAGTTTGTGAGTTATATCAATAGTAAATTTCACTCGCGATTCCGTTTGCGTGGAAAAAAACAAAACTGTGTAGCCTATGTGTTTTTCTAGACTACCCTCTACATCTATGTCAAATTTTATCGAAATCCATTCAGCCATTTATGGTACAAACTCTTACAAACATCCATCCATCTAAACTTTTGCATTTACAATATTAGTAACTAGCTTTTGCCCGCGACTTCGTCCGCGTCCGGTTTAAAATTGATTTTGTAAACAAAAAAGTGGTTATTGTAAAAAAACCGTTAAAGATAGATATATGCTATTGCAGACTTTTCTGTACATCTTTTTGAGATCTACAATTCTTTTATACATCATTTTTATATACCTCTAACGGTTTAGGCAGCGTAAGCCGAAAAAAGTTAAAGT